GGGGGTTGTATGCCTCCGGGGGGTGACGCGCGCAGGGGGTCGCCCCGGGGGCGGAGCCACGCTCGCTGCTCAGCGAAGCGTCTGGTCGCATTTTTAACGTGATATGAGCCCGCTTTGTGCTGCGGGGGGATACGCTATCTCCGTCCCCTCCCCCCACGTCTAAATCCGACCTCCACTTGTGTGTGGAATTATATCTGTATCTATGCACGTGCGTACGGGTGTATATGTATGGAGGTAAGTGTGTGTGTGTATATGTATATATATATATATATATATAATGGGAGGCATGGCCGGACTGTGTGTGTACACCCCTCCCCCCCATATAGGGTGCAAATCTACCTTGCTTTCTATTTGATTTAAGAAAATGGGTGGGGGTGTATATATATGCACACACATGCACACCCCTGGCTATGCCACCCATTATTTAAACCCCCCAGCCTGCCATTATTTATGCACACGCACACACATACCCTTACTTCAGTTAGTCTATAAGGTGCAAATCTATCCTGCTTTCTACTTGATTTCAGAGTATGTCTATTGAGCACATCTTGACCAGTATTTAAAAGAAAGGGAAGCATTTCCATTGATATCTGCAGCAGCTGACACAGGACCTTAGCTTGGAAGTCTGGAAAACCTTATTCTTGGGTACCATCTCTGTACCCCCTGGCTTTTCAAAATCTTAATGTGTCTGTGTGTGTCTATATATATATATATATATATATATATATATATTTCTCTCTATACATACATAGAGAGAGAGATTCCAGTCTTCTCTTCTCTTCTCCCTTCTCTCTCTGTCTTTGGTTAGTGTATAAGATACAAATCTATCCTGCCTTCTACTTCAGACTAACGTGGTTAACTACCTTTCTCAGGCACACCTTGCCCACTATTTAAAAGAAAGGGAAAGATTTCCATTGACTTCTGAGAGAGACGACTCTTGACCCACATTGCCTGAACCCTTAGCATGGAAGTCTGGCAAACCATATGCTTAGGAGTCTGTCCCCGGTCTCCTTATGAATTTGTTTGCATATTAGTGTCAGTTTCTTCCTGCCTAGCAGATATATTATGCCCTCTGGTTGGACATGTTTATGCTGATAAGGTCAGATGAGTTAATACAAAGCAAGTTGTTCAGTGTTTAGCAAATGCAGAGTGCAAATAATTTGGTGAATTACATTCTATGTAACTTCATGAGAAGCCTCTAAAAAAGTTTTACAAGTAATGATTTTTCATAATTCCTCAGAAATTAGGGAGAGAACTAAGTTAAAGTCTAGGCCATCTTCTTGCCAGAGTAGGACAGGTCCATGCAATATATTTAAAAAATGCATTGTCCTTCTAATTTTAGGTGTAACAGATTCTGGCGTTCCCTTCATTTCTGTTGGAATCTTCTCCTAATCTTTTCCCATGCTTTAAAAAAAAGTATAGATGTATAAAGGTTATTAACAAAATGCACCTTTTTGTTTTTCAGATACAGTCCCTTCCTTAGACAATATTCATTATTTAAGAATTATTTTTTTTTCCATCTTTTAAGATGACAGCTCTTCCAGGTAAGCTATAATTAAAATAGTAAGCACTTGCTTCACTGTAGTTGAGCTGACCTCTTCGTGTTTGTTAGAACGTTATCATCATTGCAGGTTAACTGCGTTAATTGAGTTCAAGCAGAAGATGGTTTTGCAAGGTCTATTATAACTACTCTGTGTGGTGCTGTGGAGTGCTGCCATGAAAATATGCCCTGCTTTGTTCTGCTTCTGCATGTGCTTTCTGTCTTGTTCCTAGGTCTACTCTCAGCCAGGAGAACAGAAATTTGATGGGCTCTTATCACATTACATATGCAACACAGGACTTTTTGGGGGCATGTTTTCACAGTGGCACTCTTTGGCACCATCCAACACTGTGTAGGCATGTTTTTTTTCATTTCTTTAGGTATCTACAAGGGCAGTCCAGAGGGTGCAGCAGTGTGGTCATACTCGGATCATAGGCAGACAAGGTTCTTTGGGTAGATGTGATATTTTTTTATTAGACCAACTAAATAGTTGGAGAAAATTGTTCTTTTCATGCTTTCAGGTACAAACACCCTTCTTCAGGCATAGGGAGAGTTTGTTGCAGGGTGGATTTGATTTAAATCATGATTTAAATTGCTAGTCAGGAAGACTCGATTTAATCATTTTCTACAAAAAAGTGCTTTCTTGTTTGATAGTCATTTAACTTTATTCATTTAACCTTTATTCATTTAACTTCTTGAAACTGCACTTTTAGAGAAAGGTAAGAGCTTGACTGTTCACAAATTTGCAGAGAGACAAGAGGGCCGATGGGTAGGTAATCGGGTCTTCTCTCTTATCTCCATATACTGCTGTTAACAAGGATGTTATCTTTGGAGACATGAATCCACAGTTTGAGAACTGAAACTAAGCATCACAGAGATGTTTAATGGGATCTTCTAGTCTGAGCACTGAGTCCCATTGGGTTGAGTGGTTTTCTTTAATCTTTACTAATCTCGAAACCCCATAAGATTGGGCCCTTAGTATAGTCCATGGCCTGTTGTGGCCTATTTATAAAACTTTTCTAAAAGGTTATATTAATAGATTGTCTTAAATAGTATATAATTAGAAGTTATAATCCCTATTCCATGATGTTATCTTTGAGCTTTAATATATTTTAAATTAAAACTATCTTTATATGTTTGTTTTTTTGTTTTTTTTTTTAGAGCATCTTAGCAAAAAGAAATACAATAAATAAAAAAGATCTGAGTTAAATAAAATCTGTTTAAAAAAAATCATTGATTTTTATCCACCCTGGTTTGTTGTCTCCAGAGACAAGATCCTTGTTCACAGCAGTATATGGAGGTGAGAGATAATAGACCAGATTACCCACCCATCAGTCTGTCTGCAAGTTTGTGTACACAGAATCAAGTCTTTACCTTTCCCTGAAAGTGCAAAGTTTCAAGAAGTTAAATGAATAAAGGATATCAAACAAGAATGTACTTTTTGTGGAAAACAATGATTAAATTGAGGCTTTCTGACCAGTGATTTAAATCGGTTTGACTTAAATCCACCCTGTTGCTATTTTTCGTTTATGTGTCTGCCAGTCAATGGGTGCAAAATATCTGGCACCCTTTGAAGTTATCATTAGTAAAACATGAATGATGCAATATTATAGTTTTGATTTTTTTTTTTTTCTTTCCTCTCTCCCTTCCTTCAGTGTTAGAGGAAGAGCTGGTTTCCATTGATGAAGAACTGCAGGTGCTAGAAATCCAGATTCAGGAACTACTGGAAAGACAACAGGAGCTTATTAATAAAAAGACAGTGTTAAAGAGAAAAATAAAACAGTTTTCAGATGATTCAGAAGCTGGGGGAAGCCAAACAAATGATTCTGCTAAGTCTTGGGACAAACAAGGTTTACAAAATCAAATTCAGTTACTAATATCACCTTTATTCTGACTCAAAAGTATTGTAATTTTATGGGAAGAATGTAATGAGAATTACCTGTGTCAACAAGAAAGTGAAAATACGGTATTTCAGTCCACCGGTGTGTCAATTGTACTGCTTCATTCTGGGGGGTAGCATTATTTTTTGGTTGCCTTGATAGCCATTTGTTTTTATTAATTTGGATTAAATTAATTGCATCCTTGGATATTCTGAGTACTAATCTGGTAATAACTAGTTATCCTCAGTTTTACGTTATACTAGACCCAGAGATCTCGTTTAACTTCACCAGAAGAACTTTATTTTAATCTTGCTATCTTATTATGTGTAACACTGAAGTTCTGCCTATTAACTTCGAGTTAAAGTACAGGGCCAAGAATTTTTTTTTTAAGGAAGTTGTTCATGTCTCCTTACACAATGTAATACTCTTTGGCTACTAGTGTGGCTCTTCGCTAGTAAAATGTATCGTTGCAGACTAGCAGCCTATGTTGCAGTATGTACATACATGAATAAATGTAGTAGCTAACCTTGATTCTGATCCGAAGTCCTTTTAAGTCAATGGAAAGACTCCGATTGACTCTATTCATTTATGAAAGGGCTTTGGATCATGATTTAAAGTCATACATCTAGCACCTGCATCTTCTCCATACTGGATCCCAGATGGTAGAATTCCCAGTCGTTTTCTATTTTCTTATCTTTAGAGCCCTACCAAATTTATGGCAGAAGTGGACTGTGCAGCAGCGCCTTAATCTTGCAGGCTCCCCCCACTCTCCCCTTCCCCCACCCCTGTTGTTGATTGGCTGAGGGACCCTGGTGGCCGTGGTGCTTGTTGCTGACTGGCTGGAAGGCAAAAATTATAACCATATTTAAAACTGCGGTTTTCGTCTTCCTGCCAATTGGGAGCAAGCAGGGGGCCCTGCTGCCAGTTAGCAGGGGAGGAAATGCAGGGCAGCCTGCAAGATTAAAGGCGCCATTGCGCAGCCCACTTATGTCATGTATTTGGTAGGTCTCCACTTATTTTTCTACTAGCATGAAGAATTGCTGACAAGTCTCTTGTTCCAACTGAAATAGATGTGCTGAGTTTTTGTCCCATTATTTGCCACTTAAAATAGATCTGTTGTGCTTTTGTCAGCTGGAGGTTCCTGTTCAGCATGTTGGCAAAAATGTTTCTTGTTTATTTTTTTGGGAAGGGATTATGGAGACTTCTTGTGGAAATGCTGTTTATTTGAAACATTATATGAGCGATAGCCTGTTTCCATTTGCTGGCAAGGTTACTGGCATGTTTCTGCAAAGAAATGCAGGCTCACCTGTTGAATATCCTGGAGCATATTATGCCTCTTGCTTCACTACTTAATCTCACTGTAGTCATTCTGCATGTATACAAGTAGCATCTTTTCTCCTCTAGTTTTCCTGAATATGCCTATGTCTTTTTGAGGAGCATGAGTTTAGAATTGCCCTGAAAATTAACTAAAGTATCCTAACTATTCTAGCACTTGTCCTTGGAAGCAACTGCTGTCAGGCATAATACGTTTCATGTTCATATCAGTTGAATAGAATAGTCATCATTTAAAAGTTAGTATATTGAGGTCCTTGATGTGCTCATGGATTTCCTTTTGAGGATTAATTCATATTATTATATTATTATTCTCAACCTTCTCAGACTTGAGGCATCCCTCAGAAAATGTTAGTTCTTACCTTTCACTCAATTTTTAACTACAGAAAAATAGCATAGTTTTTCTGTCGCAAAGAACTGTGATCACAGCAGGTCAGAATGTGTTTGGTGCTGTGGATTCGTGTGTGAAATCTCTGGGTTTACCTTGTGAGCCATGCTTGCACACATAACAGTGCTAACATTGTTTGGCATCCTGTGGCATCCCTGAGAGGTTTTCAAGGCATGCTGGTTAAGAATCACTGTATAAGAGACTAAGCTTTGTGTTTAAATTTCAAATGGTCTGCAAAACAAATTCATACAAAGCATAACTTTGCACTCTCTCACTTAGTTTACACAGGCAAATCTTGTGGATGCCTTTTGAGCTTTTTAAAAAGTTAGCCTAATATACCATCAAGACACTTTCAGAAAAAAGTCACTTCTACGTTGTAGTTGTCTTTTTGTTTTATATTTTAAATGCCATTGCTTATGAAAGGATTTTCACTACTTTTTTTTCTCTTTAACAGACTTTCCATGGTCTGAGAATGTCACAGCTGCACTACAAAAGACCTTTAGACTCCAGAAATTTAGGTCTCTACAACTTGAAACAATAAACGTTACAATGGCAGGGAAGGATATATTTCTTGTCATGCCTACAGGTGGTGGAAAGAGTCTGTGCTACCAGTTGCCAGCAGTGTGTTCTGATGGTATGTGAGAATAAAGGTCATGTAAAAGTAAATGGATTTCAGGTTTTCACTTTGTATTATTAATTGGGGGGAGAGAGTGCTACATTCATAAATCTATTATAAGTGTTATTCCATCTGCTGAAGAATTGCCAGTGGAAGTGTCCCTGATTTGCACTTTAATTCTCTAGTGTTAAGTATTTTCCTTTCTTAATGTTTTGGCTTCATAACCTACAGAAACATATTTTTATTGTTTAAAAACAATGTATTCTGTTGCAATTTTTCTTTTCTCTTAAATTGTGAAGAGACTTGGTTTTTAGATTTTATAAATTTTTTTTTCCCTTTTCTTAACAAAAGAAACAAATTATTGATTAGCATTTTTCAGTCCCAAGGTAAATTAGCCTGTTGCACAGTGACCTGTTTTGGGGATTATTAGTTTTGATGATTGGTTTAATGTCTCTTGCTGTTAAGATGTTTAAATCCAGTTGTCAGTGGATAAAGGTGCATATCACAAAATTCTCCATCATATATTTATATCCTCTTCGAAAAATTTAAGTAGTAAACAGTGTCTGGTGAACTTCTAGAGCCAAATGCTAGGACCCTCAGAAATAGGGGTCTTAAAGTTCACCAAGGTACTTTAGCATTGATCTCTCTTTAAACATGGGGATAGTTCTACTGGCTTCAATAGTACTAATTCCATTTAGGCATGTGCTTAATGAATCGGGTCCTAAATTTTTCAGGTCCACACTTAAGTGATCTCATTTTCCAAATGTCTAAGCACTGTTCATTTCAAAAGGGATTCAGCATGTTGGAAAATCAGGTGACTTATTCAGGTGTTTAAATATTTACTTGGATACTTAACTACAGTTATCTGCTTTTGAAATTTTTTGCTTGTGCATATAAAGTTAATCGAGTCTTGCACTCTGGAGTGACTCCATTGAAACCCAGTGCACATTTTGGCCTTGTATTACACAGTTAATGCAGCAAATACTGGCCATCAGGAGCAAACACTTGACTGGAATGCTTTAAGCAGGAATGATCCTGCCTTTAGCAAGGGGTTGGACTCACTAGATGACCTCCTGAGGTGTCTTCCAGTCCTCTCTTTTTGTTGGTCGTATGTGTAGTTCTCAAGATGACCGCTGTTGGCTACCCAAACAAAGAAGCCTACAGTTAAACAAATATGAAAGCTGAGCTATTTGTAGGTAATCTCTCCAGAATAGAGTTGATGTGCATTGGTGTTACCATTTGGGGATGCTTTCATTGCTACTTTCTGTTCTTTACTTGGTCTTGAGAAAAAGACTTCATTCTGTGATTCTTCAGTCCTGCAGTATTTGCATTAAATGCACATGTGCATACAGGATTTTTGTTGCATTGTTCAAATTGAGAGAAATCTTATGAACTGGATTTTTCACATGAGATACGAGATTTTTTTTTTTTGTTCTCATAGGTTTCACACTTGTGATCTGTCCTTTGATCTCACTCATGGAAGATCAACTAATGGTTTTACAGCAGCTGGGAATATCGGCATCTTCATTGAATGCTTCAAGTAGCAAGGTATGTTTAACTGCCAGAATCTGTCGTCATTTTGCAACATTTTCAAAATTAAGTTCTTGCATCTTGTTTGCATTTTATATTATTCAGTGTCATTAAATGGATGGTATAATTTTATTTGCTAGCATACCATTTCATAGTTGTCACGCAAATTATCAGTCAAGGAACAAAATCCATTTGCCAATGTTTCTATGATGCTAATAATAATATCAATAAAAATAAAATAATATATACCTGGTTTTTGGGAGGTTTTCATGTTTTATTTTTTTATTTTTTTTTAAAATCCTTGCATAGAATGAACATAATGTTGTGGGGCGGAGCTAATGCCATAATGTTTTTGGAGGTATTAGGATATTTTTGTTACTAAATGATTTTTTTTTTTCCTTTTTAATCCAGAAATCAGACAAAAGATACTGGGCAATATTATGTCACTTAATTTTCTTAGCAGTGCAGACTTGTTATAGCTGTAATTACGTCATTTGCTTCAGAATATAAATCCACTGTCAAAAGGGCCAGGAAGACTAATGGTATTGCATTGTCCAATTGCTCAATATGCACTTTGGGGTGGAGTTTTTCTAATTAATGCTTTCATGTGATGTGACAAATTGCACAAATATTTCAAGAACTGAAGTCCCTGAAAAGCCATTAAAAAAGCTGACAGTTTTTATTTTGCATGTGAAATTACTTTATATGCTACAGACATGTTTATCACGATATCTTGCACAGCAACAAAGACACTTCACCATACAGTACAGAAAAATATTTCTAAAGTTCTGTGGCCTTAATGCTAATATTAAAGTCTGCTTGATAAGTGTATTCACTTATAGTGACTCATTGCAGAATCATATGCAGTCTTGCCATTGTCTCATTTGGTTCACTATGTATGCATTCAACTAAAATTTGGTTGACAACCTGTTGATCCTAAAATGAAGCGATATTAGATGTGTTAACATCCTATTCCTAATCACAGTCCTAACAATCTAGATCACTATTTTTTTAACAGGAACATGTGAAGTGGGTTCATGCTGAAATGTTGGATAAGAACTCCAACCTCAAACTCATTTATGTGACTCCAGAGAAAATTGCAAAAAGTAAAATGTTTATGTCGAAATTGGAGAAAGCTTATCAAGCAGGAAGACTTGCTCGTATTGCTGTGGATGAGGTTCATTGTTGTAGTCAGTGGGGACATGACTTCAGACCTGGTATGTTCATTCAGAATTGTATAAGCAGTTAGATAATGATGGAAGAATAAGGCTGGGAGCGAGGCAAAGTGCTTCCTTTTGTGTATTGGACATACATTTAATTATCAAGGCACAGAAAATACTTGTGTGCAGTTCAGAGATTTTAAAATTCCTTTGGTATGATTCAAAAGTGGTTTATTTCTTTAACTAAGATCTAGGTTCAGGCAAGTCAGGGACACTTGCACTGGCAGTTTTTCAGCGGATTGATATCGCTCTAACAGTTAAAAGAAGAAACTGCAGCAGGCATCTCTAATACAGAAGTGCTACCTATGGAATATTACAGTCTATATAGCATTTTGTCACAAGTTGGTCAACTTGAAATGGCATGTTTCATCCTCAGACTTTAAGTGTTCATGGTCTTTATTATCTTTGTATTAGAGGTGACAAATATTAGCCACATCATGAAATGTTGTAGGATGAACTTGGACCTTTTTAAATATCATTTACAGGAAGAAAAATTACACTGTTGTGGTCTCATGTTTTGTTTGGTGTACATAATTAGTATTTATCAGATGTTATTTCTCATTCTGTTAAAGAAAACTTACAGTTTAATGTAAAGATAACTAGAGTCCTCAGTCTACTAGGCTTTTGCAGAATATTTTTAAATTATTATTTTAAAAAATAAATTTCCATTTAAAGGTTGTCTTACGAATACTATGGACAGAGCTAATTTTGTATATGTATGCTGGGCTATATATTTTTTGTTAATGAGGGCAATTGGTTGCTAGCAATTATATTTAAACAGATCAAAATATAATTTATGTAGATTTTAATGAATTTGTTCATTTTGTTTTATAATTCTCTTAACTACATTTAACTGTATGGTATCTTCTGAAATGAGAATGCTTTTGTAAATTGTGCGGGCCGGGAGCGACCCGAGCCCTTTTCCGTGCTGCACGCGGGCTGTGGCCAGCAGCCTGGGCACGCCGGGTCGGAGAGGGAAGGCCGTCGAGCTGGAATTGGGCACAAACGCTAAGCAGTAGTTTTAAAGATTGTTTACTTACACCGAGATGACAGTGGTGTAGGCTGGAAAACTTGCTTGAGTTGTGGTTACAGACGGACAACACAGACGGTCTCGTGGAGGTTGCTAGGCTCCACAGTGCAGAGCTCCGGATGCTCTGGGTGAACGAGCCACCAAAATCAGAATCGTAGATATGACTTATAAAAGTTGCGCTCGAAGACGGGAAGAGGTGGGCGATGTATCAGGTCGCCAAACTCCTCTGAATCTCAACCTGCGCGCCCCCACATGGGAATAATTTGAAAATTAGCCAATAGCGGAGAACGAATTTACATACCAGTGGCAGGAACTCTTTTGCACCGTGCATTCCTCTTGCAACATGAGCAATGCACTCTGCAAAAGAAGCTGCAGAAAGGCGGGAAACTCGTCCCTGCACCGGGGTTTTCCTCTGCAACAGGAAACTCTCCCGTGCAACGAAGCTGCAACTTGGCGGGGATAATTCTGGTGCCGAAGCGCACACAAAATCATGCCTTTGGGTCATGACATAAATATGTTACAAGAACAGTCCTGTCACTCTGTCAGTCCTGTACAGTCTGCTGAGCACCTTGTTTGGAAGTGTACATGAGTTCTGTTACTAGTGATTAGCTTGCAGATTTGATGTAATAGTACACAACTGTCATCTCTTCAGATTGAAACTGATTGTATACAAAACCAATATTTTCCCCTTATTTTCTTATGTAGATTACAAGTCACTTGGTATCTTAAAACGACAATTTCCCAAAGCTCCATTAATTGGATTGACAGCAACTGCAACAAGTCATGTTTTAAAGGATGCCCAGAAAATTTTGTGTGTTCAGAAATGCATTACATTTACTGCGTCTTTCAACCGGCCTAATCTTTTCTATGAAGTGAGTTTTTATTTTTTTTTCCTTCTCGTTTTGTGGTGTAGAGGCCCCTGTCATGGATCAGGACATTGCTATACTCGGTGTTACAGAAACACAAAGCAGTATATTTCATTTTCTAAGTGAGGGAGTTTTTCTGTGTGTTTGTTTGTTTTAAATAGTCTGAGGAAAGTGTTTCACAGTCACCAAAGTTGGTTGTTATAGTTTTCAGTAAGAGGATGACTCCCTACTGTTCGTGCAGCCTTTGAAAATCATCTTTTCCCATGGCACTGGTTTATTTCCAGGATAGTGTTCTAATAAGTATTTAGTCTTTATTGAAAGAAAACCACTGATTAGCTATAATTTTTTATTAGATGGCTCTAATTTTTATTAGAGAGCTTTACTAAGCTAAGTCTTTGGCAGTTCATTTCTTTTTACTTTTTCAATATTAATTTCTGACTGGGGAAATTAAAAAAATGGAAAAAACAGAAGTGGGATGTAAGGACACAGGAAAGAGATGAGGAGTCTGGCCTAGAAACACTTTGATCAATTGCATGTAGTCAGGTATTATGGCTATAATGTCTGCTCTTAATCAAATTACAATATTTCCTTTTCTAATATTGTTCTTGGTCTGTTTTATTTTGTGTTTTAAATCATCAGACTGACATAAATGTATCTTACCTATGTTTGTAGTAGATGTTATGACCATGTTCTTAGCTATGCTATAATCCAGTGTTTCTAAACCTGTTTTGACTCCAGGCTCTCTGTATCGGATTCAAGGCATACTGTCATGACTTTCATGAGTTGAGTAACAACCACTTTCAAAAACCAGTTTTATATATTACAGTGCTTACCTCCTTGCAGAGAGGCTGGACAGTGGAGGTTAGGGATTGGCCAGGCGAGGACTTGCCTGGGCCTGTACTTATCTGCTTCTTTCTCTCTTGATACCTTGTGGCACACCCCAAGGTGCCATGGCACCCTAGTTGAGAATTGGTGCTGTAGTCTAAGCATTACAAATCATAGCTCAACACAAACTCCTTTAGATTTCCCAAGTATGTAACCTTTAGCTGGTTCAATATTGAGTGTTGGCAATTTCATAGCACATTGAATCCAACTAAAAAGTAATTAGAATACATAAATACCTTGGTGCAAGAAAAATTCATCTTAAAGAGTAGTGTGTCTCTAGTGGGTTATGGAATAGAGAAAATCCCACACAATTTACTGATTCGTTTTGATGCACTGGCTGGGGAAATTTTTAGCTACTTGCACGATTTCACAGTGATTACACACTTAATTCATACAACACAATTTTATTTTAAAATTCTTTGCTACACATATAACACTGCTTAGCTTTAAGAAATACCACGAACATTAAGAACACAATAATTACATATATCAGAAACAATACTCCGAATGCACTTCCTTCCCAAACAATGCTATAAGAATTAGTATTACAAAAACAACTACAATTACAACTAAAAGTTAAATTTGAATCAATACTGTTATTTTCATAATATACTTACAATCCTAGAATTCCAAGAAGCCAAACACCTAAATATGGTTTCGTTCCTCAGTAGTACGGTTCAATGGGCTCGCCTCAGCAATACGATTCAATGGGCTGGCCTTAGCAGTGATAGGACTAAGTCCCCTTCAGTCCCTTTCGGGCGCTCTGCAGCTTCAGCGTGAACTAAGAGATTCGTGTTCACAGAGAGGGTGGTTCAGGTGATCAGTCTGATCCGGTCTACACTTGCGATTCTTCCTTCGTTGTTCTGCAAGTGAAGTTTACCTCCAAATTGGAAGAGTAGGTTACAGTTTTTATTGAGAGAGTTGCCGTCCTGGGCCTCTCCTACCCAAACCTGTCGCTACCCCCAAATTTGGGCTCGGGTCTTACTCAACAGATTCTTTGCTTGGTAATCAGTTTCTTTCTTGACTATTCTAATTACTTTGGGGAACTTCCATACCACTGCAAGTGACCTTTTCTTTCCAATTTTTTTTTTTCAAAGGCCCTAGGGTTTGATCTCTCGGAATTCGGGATATTTGCTTAAGGGTCATTTTTAGGTTCTCTTTGTTAAAGGCCTCTAAAGATAAAATTCAAGAATTAAGACTTTGAGCAAAGTCAGGACCTTCCGCATGTAGACCAAAACAATGGCCTAGATAAGAAGATAAATCTTGTCTTCCTAAACTGGCTAATGGGCAACTATTGCAAACATTCAAACTATTTCATTCAATATGACATAGAGGAACTGAGTTTGCTGTTCTAAGTGTTGTACGATAAGAGGGCTATGTGGGAAACTGGGTGAATTGCTCTTGAACAACTTTTCAATTTATCAGTAATATATGTATTTTTATTTATTTATTTTTTTAGGTTCGGCAAAAGCCTTCAAATGCTGAGGACTTCATGGAGGAGATTGTTAGGATCATCCATGGAAGATACAAAGGGCTCTCAGGTAAACAATATAAAAACTGTTATTTTTTTCAGGTAAGGTAATTGAAAATTGTATAAGATGTTATCCTTTCCAAGCAGGCTTCTGTTTTTATGGTACTTCTCCAATGTATTAGCAGAATTGAGGACAGCTGCTTAACTTTTTAATAAAGATCCCTTCTATTAACTAGCAATTTTTGTAGTTAATTTTGTATTTTTTTGAAACTTTTACTAAATTTTATGTCCCTTGCTGTTAGTCTGTCTTGTCTTTAGTTACATGATTGAAAGCTATTTTCCCTGCAGGATCCCTGCTTTGTTCAGTGTACAGGATGAGCTGCTTTGGCACTGGATTTGTGTTGTGAATGAGAGTTTGTGTGGGGCTCCCTGTTTTACTTGTTGTACAAGTTGTATTGTATGTAGTAAATGAAGCAGGGATTGCAGGAAGAGAGAAGACTTGTCAGGGTGGTAAAAACCAATTTTTCAGGACAGCATTATATCCTTTTGGAACATATTTTCTGTGCTGGTTCGGCAAGTCACTCTTTCACAGGTGGGACCAAATTGTGTATTGCTTACCGTCTGGGTCCCAATCATATTTTCCCTTCCTTAACCTCCCCAGTCCTTTCAAAATTTCTTCTAACCTACTACTTTCCCTGCTCCTGGTCTGGCTTGTGACTTCTTGCATATGAATCAAATGTGCTTTCTGGGTATTAGTAACAGTCATTAAGAGTAAGCTCTTCACTGTCCATTTCAGTACCTGTTCCCAATCTCAGCCACAGCAGTAATTACAGGGTAAGATTGGCTTCATCCCTTTAGCTCAGGGCTAGAACATTCTTGGCCACTCTTTGAAGATGGTGAAAAAGCAAACTAGTCGCACATGGTTACTGTGAGGGTCTTTAGGGAGGACGCATACACACTGGTCAACACTAGGAGCCAAGAGGCTTAAGCATGTGTAGCAGAGATAGAAGCTCCAATTGGGAGCTGAAAACTAATGGAAATTGAAATGTTAAGACATAACAAGTGAAAAATAACTACTCCATTGTAAAATGGTGATGGTAATAGGTCTGAGAGTAGTTCAAACTCAGTTTTGCTTGCAGAGTTCTTTAACCCCAGTACAGATTGGTCAATGGCTAAAAAAAACCCCCCAGAACTAATTTAAAATCTCCGTTTATTTCCAAGGGTAAGTGTTCTCTCCCTTGATCATTATGTTGCTAATTTGTACTCATGTTCTTTGTCTGTCATACAGTCCAAAATTAGAACTGATATGGAGACTGAATTATCTTCTCTGCACTTGAGAGAATCCTTTAGATGGCTGATGTTAGGGTGGCACAAGAAAAGTTTATTTTTGTGCACAGATGAGATGGTGTATGTTATTTTCAAGGCTACTAAACCCTGCACCTTGCATAGAAACAGAATTTACATTTTATTATATATGGTAAACATTTTTTTAAAATGTTCTTTGTTCTGTTTTTTTTGTGTGCAGGAATTATCTACTGCTTCTCCCAGAAGGACTCAGAGCAGGTTACCTTTAGCTTGCAGAAGTTGGGAATTAAAGCAGGAGCTTACCATGCAAATATGGATGCTAAGGATAAGACCTCAATTCACAGGCAATGGGCAGCCAATAAAATCCAGGTCATGTATACAATTCTCCACTGAGTTTAATCTGACTTCAGTGGGTGCATCTGCATGAGACTTTTACTGTTAAACTGACTGATTAACTCTGCAGTAAAGTCTCGGCATCTACACATGCAACACTATTAGGCTGCAATAAACTAATAAACACTGCTGTAGGATAGTACTTGTAAACAGAAGTATTATACTGCAACGGTGTTATTTACTGCACCACAACAAATGTGTAGATGCTGACAGGGTTGCCTGCTGGCTAGTCCTACACTGGACCACCCTTGTGTCCCAGCCAATCCCTCTGCAACACATTGAGGTGGGTTGGAGCAGCCCTGGGTTGGCAGGCTGACCCCCCCCCCCTCTGTCCCTGGATCCTCTGCCAGCCGTGGCTGCTCTGACCAGCTCAACATGCTGTGGTCTTGAGCGCTTGTTCAGACGTGGTGCCTGCGAGCAATAAACTCAGGCCCAAACTATGCTGGCATTTACTGTTTTGAATTGTTGGCACGTGTAAACTCGCCCACTGAGTAAGAACAGCATCCTGATAGTTTATTACTTTTGTTTCAGGTGGTAGTGGCAACCGTTGCATTTGGTATGGGAATTGATAAATCTGATGTGAGGTTTGTAATTCACCATTCGATGAGCAAATCTATGGAAAACTATTATCAAGAGAGCGGGCGTGCAGGTATCGTGAAAATGTCATGTACTGGCAAAGAGCACAGTTGTATCTTGTAGTTGCAATAGGTTGATACAGGCATTGTGCTTTGGAATCAGTTCTCATTTATACCAAGGCTGCTCTATACCACTGTAGCATTGTAAATTGGCTTTAAAGTGAGTATAAATTTTATATTTGCAGTGAGGTCCTTTTGCACTACAGAATGGTGGAAAGCAGCCTTAATGTAAATAAGCGTGTGGTCCTTCTGAGTTTTGACTTTTGTTTTCTGCATTGTTTTAAAGCACAGGCTGCTTCTGTGACATACTTACAAATAGCTACAAGACTACAATTTCCCTGCCCCCCCTGCCCTGATTACTCATTAAATGTAATTGCTTTTTTAAAAGGATGCTTTTAAATAATTTTACACAAGGTGATAGCTGTATTTGAGTGCTCAGGTCTTAGTAGCTGCTGATATCCTGGCAGTTAAACAACTGTCTTCCTATTAAATTCTCTTTTTATTGCTTGACTTGAATCCCTTCGAAAGTAACTGGTATTGTGTAGCTGACAAATCTCTTAAATTGGATTTCAGTACATTTTTAGGATGGCATCTTTAAAAAACAAACAAACCCCAAAAAACAATAACAACCAAACCTTCCTCTCCCCCCAGAAGTACCCATTAGGCTTAACTCTCTGCTTCTGTTGACATTCAGTTGCACATTATGACTGTATTCAGCCATTGGAAGGCCACACATTTTATTCTGTAAATTTTGCATTTTGCTTGAGAGCAAAATATGAATGCTACTTTTAAGTATTAACTAGCCCTTATGTTTTATTATGTTCATAGAAGAATGTGGTAAATCTGCCTTTCTGCTTCTAAGCTTTTTTGTTAAATTCCTAAAGTCCTGTTAGTTGATATGATCTGCTGAATTCTCTGTCATACAATGAGACACGCACTTGCATACTCACGCGCGTGCACACACTCACAAATATGGGCAGGGTTTTTGATAGAGTAGTAAGCATCCACACATGTGCGGGTAAACATGGGCAGGGTTTATCACAGAGAAGCAAGCATCCTTAGTACTGTATGTTCATGTATGTTTTTTATTTTGGTCCTAAATTATGTAAAGTCTAAAGTCTGTTTCAAATGCATTTCAGGTCGTGATGACCAGAAAGCTGACTGCATTTTATATTATGGTTTTGGAGATATCTTCAGAATCAGCACAATGGTTGTGATGGAGAATGTAGGGCAACAGAAACTCTATGATATGGTATCTTACTGCCACGACGTAAGTGGGTAAGTGTTTTATTTAAAAAAATAAACAAAACATATAAAACTTTTTTTTTTATAAAAGAGTGTTTCCCTTCGTAAACATTTTATTAGGAGCAGTCATAAATGCCAGGGTTCATAGTCCAGTGGAGACCACGTGCATGATCTGAGGTCAAGAGAGCAGGCCTTGTGAGGCAAGGCTAAGAGGCACGGGACTCTTCAACTTTGCTTTGTTTCTCTCTGAGATTGATGTATAATGATCAGACTGTTGGTCTGTTTAAACTGGTATTCTGCCTCTTGCACAGAATTATCTTTGGTGCTTTGGGGAAGGTAGAATTTCTTTCCTTGCCTATGGAAAGAACTCTGCCAGGTAGTTATTGCTATACACCTGGAGTAGGGGATAAAGGTTCCACAGTCAGAATATCAATTAATAACCAATCCAATTTTCATCCTGGAAGCTGCTGCTGTTGATGTTTGCTTTCATGTATTTAATCTTTTTTCCTAATTAGCTAAGCTCTTTATACAACAGTAGTTATAGCAGTTACAAGAACATTTGTAATATTGTATTGTTTACATAATCGACAAAGAATATTTTACATCTTGACTTTTTGAGTGAGCCTTTTTACTTGAAAGAACCTACCTTACCTCAAAACAAGTGGCCATCTCTATATTATTGATATGATCTAATAAATATGTCCCTTAATATTTTATAATCTCACTTATTGTTCTTCCATTCCAAAAATATATTCTTCCAGGTGTCGCCGGGTACTGATAGCTCATCATTTTGATGAAGTGTGGGATTCTGCAAACTGCAACAAAATGTGTGATAACTGCTGTAGAGAGAAATGTAAGTAAAAGGATTTAACGACTACAAGTAGAAAGCAGGGAAAATGGCCAGGTTAGACAGATTTCAGCATTTGTAATCGTAGTTGCCTGCAACCTTCCCCTTTTAAAGAACTATTTTGAGTTGCTTAACTTTGCCACTCTTTAACAGTTAGGGCTGAACTCTTCTAAGGTGTGTGCTTCACATGGCTTTTCAGGTTCAGCCATAATATTTCTGCTGTTTTGGAGAATAAAGGTAGTGAAAAATATATATATTTTTCCCTCTAAGTTTAAAAAAACAAAAAACCCCAACATTCCTGGCAGACTTTTCTTTGAGAAGTAATTTAGAATAACACTAGGGGAAGAGGGTGGCCTTTGTCTATGGGATAAGCCTTTAGGGCTAAGTAAAGACAGTAAAAAGCCTGAGGCTGAATTGAAACCAGAGAAATCCAGAGCAGCCTAAGGGCGAAAAGGGGGGCATATAAGCGCGCGGGCCTACTCCCGATCCCATCCATGTCGCCATGTGCGGGCCGGGAGCGATCCGGGCCATTTTTCGCTCCGCGCAGGCTGTGGCTAGCAGCCCGGGCACGCTGGATCGGAGAGAACGGGCGACACGCTAGAATTAGGCACGGACGCGTAATGGTTGATTCAAGATTGTTTACTTACACTGAAGATGGTCGCAGTGTAGGCTGGACAGTTTCCCAGGCACAGCTCCAATTAAATCCTCATTTGAGGACTACGACAAGCTCGGGTCTCTCTCACGAAGTTTGCTAGGCTCCGTGGATCCTTTTATTCACTCACTCACTCACTCACATGAAGTTTGCTTGGCTCCATGGGTCCTTTTGTGCGCAGGGAGAGGGATATGTCGAGGATTGCGAACGGCGACAGGGAGAGGCTAAGGGCTGATCAGACCTCTGTTGCCTGCTTGAAATGTGCTGGGTCCGATAGGCTCCGCAGCGCTTAGAGATCTTCACAAGACGTGAAGTCTCCTCCTCCTGGTGTTCGTGGAGTCCTCCCTTGCGGGAGTTCTCCTCGGAGTTCTCCAACTTGGGCAGAAACCACTCAAGCTTTTTATATGGCTAGCAAG